TGTTTATTTTCCTTCGGAGCACTTCTCGCAGGCCCTTCCCGAGGGCTGATCGCGCCGAGCCCCGCCACCCCGACCTCCAGGTGACAGCCGGTCAGCCTGGTAGGCGTCAGCTCCGCCCCGTCACCCCTCCCGCCCACAGCCCATTCCCCGCCCAGCCTCCCCGTGCCAGCCCGAGGCGCGCGGCGGCCGCAGCGGCTCTGCGGCGCTGGAGCGGGCGGCGCCCGGCGGGGCCCTCGGCGTCGTGCTCGGACCAGGCAGAGCCGCGGCCGACCAAGGGGGAAGTCCGGCTCCCGGGCGACAGCCCTAGGAAGGAGGACGACGATTTAAGCCGCCCTCTCCTGCCAGTCCAGCTGCCGGGCGCTCGCTTGGTGCCCGCCGCCGGAGCCGCGACGGTGAAGTGCCGCAAGGGGCAGGGCCCCTGAAGTGCGGAGTTTGGGGTCGCCCCGCGCCCAAACGGGCGCCCCACGCGGCCGTAGGCACAGTTTCAGCGGCACCGACAGTGCCGAAGTTAGGGGCGCGGTGCGCCTAGCCCGTCGCCTCCGCGCCCTAGTGAGGCGCGGGTTATGGAGCCCCCCAGCTGCCTTCAGGATGAGCCGTTCCCGCACCCCCTGGAGCCCGAGCCTGGCGTCCCTGCGCAGCCGGACCCCGGGAAGCCGGGCGACAAGCGATTCCGGCTGTGGTACGTGGGAGGCTCGTGCCTGGACCACAGGACTACGCTCCCCATGCTGCCCTGGCTCATGGCCGAGATCCGCCGGCGCAGCCAGAAGCCCGAGGCGGGCGGCTGCGGGGCGCAGGCGGCCCGCGAGGTGCTCCTGGTGCTCAGCGCGCCCTTCCTGCGGTGCGTTCCCGCGCCGGGCTCGGGGGCCTCGGGGGGCGTGGGCCCCGCGGCCGCGCAGCCCAACCCCGCGGTGTTCATCTTTGAGCACAAGGCGCAGCACATCTCGCGCTTCATCCACAACAGCCACGACCTCACCTACTTTGCCTACCTGATCAAGGCGCAGCCTGACGACCCCGAGTCGCAGATGGCCTGCCACGTTTTCCGCGCTACGGACCCCAATCAGGCAAGACCGAGGCTCGGACCCGCGGGGGAGGGTCCGGCGCACCCGGGAGAAGTAGCAGGGCTGGAAACGCTGGGACCCCACCTTAGGGACCGACTGTAGCCGGGCTGCGGACACGCACCCTCCACGTGGCGCGCATGAGCGCCAGCGCGTCCCGCTCCTCCGACCCGTAGCCTGGGAGGCGACGGGCGCGGATGACCCGCAGGAGCAAGGGAGGCGGGGAGCGGTCCCGGGACCGTGGAGGAGCCGGCGCGCCCCGGGAGGACGCAGGGAGCAGCGCGCGTCTCGGGAGGAGCGCGGCGTCTGGGGTGTGACTGTTGAGGGCAAGCGCGGCCTCGCCCGTGCGAGTGCGTGCGTAACCTGTGAATGCGGGAGAGGAGCGCGGGAGGCTTGGGTTCCTGGAGGCCCTGCACGCACTCTTGGTCGTGGTCGTTCTGCAATTTAACTCATTTGGACGGTCGCGTCGTAGTCACAGAAGCACCTGCAGGTCTCGGGTCTGGGAGGTTTTTTCGTAGCAGGGCTGAGGAAAAAGTCCCAGACGCTGTCATATTGTCAGAGAAGCACGAGCGGGCGTTTAGATGTTGAGTGGAAAGACTTTTTTCTTAATTTCTTAATTTCTTCCTTTCTCGCCCTCTCTCCCTCCCCCTCCCTCCCTCCATTCCTTCCTTCCATTTTTACACACTAATTGGAGACAGAATCAATATCTATTTGGGTGATTTAAAAACCGTGTCATATAAGAGCTCACAATCTATTTTCTAGTATGGTTTCTCCAAAGTTTCTTGAGTCGAGATGTCTGTTACCAAACAATGCGTTTTTACTTCCTTAAAAACACACTCAATCCTTTATGTAATGGCAAGAGGAAGCTAAACAAAACATACTACAGTGATTGTGTCTTTGAAAACTGGCCTTAAAAAAAATGGTTTTTACCATATCAAAGGCCCCCAAAATGCTCTTCCAAAAACAGTTTACTGTTTGCAGAGTACTTTAGCTTCTTTGGAAAAATAATGTTGTCTAAATATAAATAAATAAAGTCTCAGTTGCACCACGTGGCTTGCTTTGGTAGCAGGGAAGTCAATACTCAAATGAGGAAGACATTCTATAAAACTTTAATTTTTTTCTTAATTCAGTACTTTAATATCTGTAATTGAAACACAATTCTGTCCAGTAGGTTTTTGCAAAAGGCTTGTAGCTGAATTAAAGAAAACAAAAGCTCATTGTCTTAGATTTCATCAGTGACTTTATGAAACAGGTTAACATCTGAACACTGAACTCCTAATGTGAAAAGAACAGTTTTAGTTTATGTAACCACTGTTGTGTGGATGGTAAAAGACTTGTTCCAAGTTATGTCAAGATCATAACCATGATTAAAATTAACTTCATTTTATGATTATTTGTTCAAAACATATTTTTAGCTTTCACTTATGTTGAAACTGGAGTGCCGTATGTTGTTTCTATCTGAAAGCTATCACTGTCTTCATTGCATTACAATTTTTTGGTTCCATCAGAAAGAAATTGCATTTTTGGAGGACTTTAAGAAATGTTTCATGATTCTTGGTGGTTTATGTTAAAGTTACTTTCTTCAGAAGTGATAGAGGTTCTGCTAATATCATTGACGGACAAAGTTTGTTTATAGGCCATGGCATCTTGAATTTTCAACAGTGGCTATTGAATCTCTCCTGGATTCATTGGTAGGAGGTCAATTAAAAACATCCCCTTTTGTTACCTCCATTATGTATTTCCCCCTTTTGGTCCTGTAGGAACATTGGAAGCCACATGGCATTGATAAAAGAAAAAAGAAAGCCAATTTTTCCTGTTCATTGCCGTTTCTCAGTTGAGTCTCTGATCCAAAGATATGAATTCCTCTTTGCTCTTAACCTGAAGAATCCCTGGCAGAGGATAGTTAATTTGAAAGGCCAGGTGTTGTCCCCCTAAAGATTATCTCCAGCCATAAAACGGGGGTTATAAACTCAAATGCCTAGGAAGAGGGTTGAGTGAGTAGTACAGTGGAAAACTAGATAGTGGGTGTCCTTTTTCAAGGTGCTACTCAACTGTAGTTGGAAATTGCATTAGCAGAATACAAGTTCAGTGTTGCCTCTAGAGCTTCTGATCCACTCCCCCAAATAGTAGAAATCTGGATTTTTATGTATGAGTATTAGCAAATATTCTAAACATTTAAGAATCCTGTCTGGGTGATGGGCAGTGTACACATCTGAGGTTTGGCTTCAGAGATCTTAAGGGCTGCCACTTTCAATCTTTGGCAAAATATTTGTTGAGTGCACAAGTGCAGTCACCAGACTCTGTGCGCTGTTTATGACAGTTCCTTTTGAGCATCTGAATTCACTCAGAAGTGGTGATTCTGTAGCTGAACTTGTTAAAGAATGAGTCTGTGGCATTGTTACCATTCAGCAGAACGCCTCATATAGAGTAGGCTCTGGATGGTCCTAGGCACTCTTGAAATCAGAAGGAGAAAGACCTGTTGTTTGCTTTACCCCTGAGTTCTACATCTGAAGGGGGGGGGAATTATTTAGTTGGACTTAAAGATCGTTGTTTAAAGTGTCTGCTGTGTTTTGCCCAGTCAGTGATCCAGGTATGGGAGGTAGCCTCGAACAACCAGCCTATAGACATCTCCACATAAACTTGCCCCTGGTTTGTCTCTCATGCCCACCCCTTTTCTGAAACAGCTCTCTTTGTGGGGTGACCATAAAATTTACTGTTTAATCTAGGACAATTTTTTTTGAGAAAAGGAGTTCCACTAATAATTACACAGCATAGTAAGTATAAACCTGTCTGTTTAGGGCAAACCAGGATATTGTGACCATAGCTGAATGGCATGCTTTCTGTTCATGCTCAGCCACTGAAATGGAGGATTGTAGTTTCCATATATAAAATGATGTTTTGAAGAATATCAACTCATATCTTTTGAGGAGTGGATGTACATGTGACCTCAGAGGTGGGCGCGCCCAGCTAGTAGCTTGAGCCTGCTGTGGGGAGTTGCCTTAGTGCGGTGCTCTCTGGCTCCGCACCTTCCTGTTGGGTCACAGTCAGTTTGAGGGTGTGCATCTGGAGGAGCGCTCAGCCACAATGGCCTAATGTAGAACTATTCCTCCCAGGTGCAAAGAGAGGTGGGGGTCAGGAGCAAATGAACCAGTTCCAGGTCAAATATATGCCAATACAGATGGGTTCCCATTTATTCAAGCCTGTGTAGTCTCGCTCAGGAGGGATGTCAGCCTTAGTACATTTCAGATGTGAAAGTTGGATGCTTGAACTACTAAAAGTGCTTGGCTCTACGTATTTTTAAAAATCCCACTGGCATCTGTTGAGTTGTAGACTTAAAACTGGTTGTGGAACTGAGAATATCTGATTCATTATCTAAGATCTAATATTCTTCAAATATCTTGGTCTACTTTTAGAAAGAGGCTGTATATATGGCATTATTTCAGTTTCCCTATTAAAAAGCAGAAATTGTTTTGTATATATTTTACCATATTAAAAAAAGCAAGAGTTTTTAGTGTTTATGAGTATTGTTAGAGATTAAAGGTGTTGATTACCATTTTCGTGAGACTCTTAACAGCATGAAAATATTTCATAATTATAGAATGGGCAATCATTTAAAAGCCAAAACATTGCTGTAACTTTCATTGATTTTGTTTATTTGTATGTTTCTCGAAACTTCCAAGAATAGACTTTCGAAGAGATTTTACAAATTCTGTTCTTCAAAGTGAATTTGACTCCAGTTTTTTTCCACCTCTAAGTTCTCTAAATCTGTAGCTTTCTTTTGTTCCTCTTAAAATATTTTTCTGAGCTTTGTTCAGGGAACCCAGTTTTCAACTTAATTTCTGTTGATATTTTTCAAAAAAGTTATTTCCCTCAGTTATTTCTCAGAATTGATGGTTAATGGCTTTGGTAATATACTAGTCAGGAAACCAGAGTAGTAGAAATCTGGACATTTTCACATTTCTCTCTGCTTTTTGACTGGTTTTCTGCTATTCTAGAAAGGTTGTTCTCTCCCTTCTCATGTTTGCTGTAGCCATTTTTGTTCTGTTCTTTCCCTGAGGTGGAGGTTAATCTGCCTTGGCTCTATGGTAGACCGTTGACTGTAGGGTCTGGAGAGGAAAGGTAAACGTGTGCGCAGTGTCTCCCAGTTGTTGAGAGGGTTAGATAGTAATGAAGATTGAGGTTGTTCAGTATCCAGAGTTTGTCATAAGCCAGAGGTTCTCAAACTTGAGTGTGTGTCAGAATCACCTGGAGGACTCGTTGAAACACTGTTGGACCTCTCTCTCAGTTTCTGATGCTAAAAAATTCCCTGGTCGTCAGACTACTGGCCTTGCAGTTTGAGAACCACTGCCCTGAATGATTTGTCCATTTTGTTGGTTAAATGCGCACTTCTGTTCCCTTAGTTATTTTTCAGTCATTTTCAGACTTGAAATTTCAAGGTGAATGTAAGGAAGAATCATATCTGATTACAGAAGTATTTAAGAGGTTCTTCGTAGTCTAACTTAAGAGCTCTTTGTATCTTCTTCCCCAGATGTTACTCTGTCATAAGACTCTCCATGTATTGAATGAACATTTTAACTTTCAAAGCAAACGTTTTAAGTTCTGGAGATGGAATAATCATTTTTTTAGGAATGTATTCTATTGTTAAATTGCAATGAGTTTTTGCAAAAATTAAAGCTTTATTGTGCATCCATAGAAATAATAGCATTCAGCATGTTTAATATATTGGCTATTGAAAAAATCAGGCAAAAAAGAAATAGAGAGTTGACAGCCTGGTGAATAAGATGATGGCCACTTTGAATAATTATTGCAAACCATTCTGTTTGATCCTTTTTTTTAAACCTTAGTGCCTTTGTTTTATTAAATCATCCAGGTGGTTGTTTTAGAGTCCCATTTCATTTGGGCTGTGTTGGCATGTCTGAATCAAGTCAACATGCAGTTACTTAGATGTTGCCCTTTGTAAAATAAGGGATAGATCAATTATAATTTAACTTAGTAGTATGCAGAGA